TTACCTGACGAGCACGCTGAGCGCTCCCAGTGGGGTCACCAGGGTCGCCGGAGCGAAGGCGTACGCTGCAAAGTTCGCTGCTTCACCGGCTCCCACTGAGAGGTATGACAAACACTCAGTAAGACACACGGTGTAATGAAAGGCAGGCTGAGGGAAACATGAAGCACTGTCTGAGGTTAATGTGTTGAAACAATAATGATTATGAGATCACGGGTGGAGTCATTTGCAGGTAAACTACATAACAACACATACCAGAAGTGTGAGGTAAACTGGGTCAAAGTTACATATAATGGTTTAACAACAATTGATTAAAAGTAAGGTCCTCCCACTAGTGCTGGAACCAAGTTACTTTTTAATATAGTCTAATTTGGTGAAAGATATCCCTCATATGATTTAAAATAAAGAAAAACAGCAAATCTTCACACTTGAGGGGCTAAAATATGCTGTTGATTCAATGAAGTCCTTTTTAAAAAAGGGCTTGAATTCACAAATCTATCCTTTCAACCAACTTGAACCCAGTTTGAATCTCATTGCCTAAACATCCTTTAACTAACCAGCTCCTATCTGATCACAGTTTGGACCTCCTGCATGTTTTCACTTACTTGATAATAAACCGGCCCACCACAGCCACTCCTTCAGATATGCATGACCCCCCTGGCCTGAAGAACAACAGCATATATTAAGAACATTTGAATCAATTCATTTGAATAACATTTGCATGTTAACAAAACATGCAGTCAATAAATACACAACATGCAGCAGCTGCAGAGGGTCAGGTGATCAACCATCAGCTGACACTCATATAGAACATTTTAAAAAGCCAATTTAGTTGAGCTCAAATTAAAGTAAATACGTTTGAGTTATTGAACTTTCATTGAATCACAAAAACAAATTACATTTAAAATAAAAGGATTCTATAGGCCTGTATATCCCCCTTTCAAATATCATGTGAATGTATTGACCCCTCCCCTAAATAAGACAACTTTAAAAACGGTAAGGTATTAATATTACAACTAATACAAATGTCAGGGGTTCATTTTATTATTGAAGCTTAAAAACATACGTTAAAAATATTTGCATGATGTATGTTTGGTTATTTTATTATTGCTGTGTTTTCATTTTGTCTTTGTAGAAGGACTTTTTTACATTGCATTAAAAAGTGCTACTTAAATAAATAAATATATGTTCTTATTATAATTGTTTTTAAATCCTCCCAAACTTTTCTTGGAAAGTTTCTGAAAAAGCTAATGTACTTTGAACCAGAACCTTCTATAAGACTGAGTATCTTTTATGGACTTTACCCTAAAAAAAAAAGTTTTTATAAGAAGTTGTTAATTATTTCCTCCAGCTTAACTTCCCTGTGAAAGCTTCCCGATGCACGAACACACACCCTTCAGAGTAAAACTAAGAAAACCTGAAACGTAGGTGAAGTGTTTTCTCCAGGTGTGCCTCTACCTGTTCAGATACTTATCAGTTGCTTAACTGCAGCAGGGAGTGCCTTCGATGCTCTGACAGGTGGAAGGTTTGTTCCTTGTTTTCAGGTAATTTGTGAGGTGCATCAGTTCCTCAGTAAAGGTCAGTACCTGCTCGCATGGATCCTTTCCTGGCCAGCCGCAGAAGTCCTTTCTTCTTCAAGATGAAACTTCCTCCGATGAAGATGCTGGAGCTGACGGCCAACCCCAGGCCGAGGTAGAAATCATACTTCCCCCGGTCCTCACCCATAGTGAGGCTGGTTGTGTTGGTGTGGTCTGTCACATCTACGAGCAAACAGTGCAGGTGCTTGCCTAAATGACAGTCCCGTCCAGCCCACACCCCTGAGAGCAGACACAAAGTTAGACATGACATTTATAAACAGCTGCTGGAGGGTATAAAAGTCCAAAAGAGACATTTTGACAGCCAAGACCTACTGTCTCCACAGGTGATATTGCAAAAGTCATCCACCATGATTTGATGTTTGGTATTAATCCATCAGAGTAACTTTTACAACTAACTAGTTTCAATGTCAGCTTATCCCATACTAGAATCGATGATTGAATGCCAGCAGGTTGAGAGGGTGTTGTGCAAAAAAAAGCCTTGTGCAACTTAGTCAGCTGCTATGTCAATAACACCTTTCCAACAGAGGGATTCAGGGAGGGACACCGCTGAGGTTAACCTGAGCACGCTCTGTGCTAAGCTAAGATACAACGAGGAACTACATTTGGAAATGCAGCTTGACAGTGCTTTGCAACACTGATCTTAAAAGTGGGGTTTCATATCATAAGATACAAAAGGCTAGATAAATAGATACGAGGCTATGAATAATTAAGGATACAAATGATAACCCTTGAAAACTAAAAAAAAGTATATATGAATAGATAATATAAAATAAAATACATTTAAAAATAAAATAATGTGTAACATTAAAAGGGAAAATATAACCCTGATTGATAATGATACAAATAATACTTATAAAGTACAAATAATCGAATATAAATACAATTTTAACTATAATGGAAAGTATACTGCATTGATTATTTATCATTTAAAAAATAAACAATAACAAAGTGAAAAAAATAGACAATATAAAAATACAAATAATAAAAACAATTAAGTAAAAAAACAACAATTAAAATACATACATTTTAAAAGAAGTGCACTGCAGTTCGTAAGTGCGAAGCAAAGTGCCAAAACACAGTTATAAGGCCTCTATTTAAAAAAAAAAAATAGGTAACGAAAGGCACATTTTATTAAATACTATTAGCTTAGTAGCCTGGTATCTGACAGTACCTGATCTGGTTAGTTCCGTAGCATTTGGGCGTAATTAACAAAGGCAACATCCGCGATCTTATTTCGGCTGTTAATTAGATACACCGGCAGTAAACAGCCTATTTCCTTAAAAACACTGTCATCAAATGTCAGAACACCATTCACATTGAAAGGGCCATTATTGTGGGGCCAAACTATTACATTTTCATCCAAATATAAGCATTGCATTACGAGTATTTCCCTCGATAGCCACAGTAGCTTGTATTAGCTCGACGGCAAACTAATTGGCTGGCTAGCGAAGTCAGTTGGCGTCAAGTTAAATACAAATAACCCAGCTATTGGTTATTTGTTTGGTTAAATAAGTTAAATAGGAAATAATGGAAGTACATTACCTGTCCAAAAGGTAGATGCCTGCTGGTTTCCCCACAACAAGAGCAAAGTGGAATAGCTAGCAGATTAGCTGATAGCTAGCCTACTTCCGGCTTCTGATGCTCCACATCTCAAGGTTCATCAGCAGGAGATCCGCTGAACGACTGCCGCACTGAGAGCTTCTTCTTCTGCTTATCAGAGCAGCAGAGCCCGCTGAACTGACGAGCCCTCCGGAGGTTGAAGTCCAGAAGCACACTGACACTCATAGTATTTACCATGAGTCATCTTTATTGCTGTGATTAGGTGATTCATATTATCTATACAAAAATAGACAACTAATGTGCAAAGTAGCTGTTTTAAAACACAATGCATCTAGATGTTATAATTACTTATAATTACTCGTAAAGATAAGTAAATAAACAACATTCAATTGTCTCTTTACATCTTATATAACAGTACTTAATGTTTTACACATGTTTAATTCAACTTAATATAGATTTTATTAGAGTGCAATTAAGAACATCCCTTTAGTTTATTGCCTTATTAATTATAAATATTTGAATATGCATTTTTGGAGAATTGTTAAGGATCAACATAAATCACTACCACTACTTCTATTCTCCATTTTACAATAATACAGCACAATATGTACTAAAATCCTTGTTTATTCAAAAAAGTGTGTACTACATTATTACAAATAATGGACAACAGCATTTGTGAACAACTGGTGAGGAGTTAAAACTAATACTTTAATGAAAGTATGAGTCCCATATATTTTTTTAAAACTACATGTATAGTAATCTGTATTAGTAAAATTGAAGTACAACTACATTTAAACGCGTGTTTTTTAAACTTTTATGAAAAATAGTAGAAATTAATGTAAACATATTTTTTAAATACATAGTCCATAATCAAATTAATTGACATCACATCACAGTTACCACGTTTAAAAAAAATTAAAAAGTTTATGTTTGGTCTATCAGACAGAGATAATTCAGTCATTGTTCAAACTTGTCTTCACAGCTCCTGGACTAAAGAGGCTGCTTCTTAAATTACACTGAATAATTCACAGGCTCACTGAATAAGTTAAAGTGTCAGTTTTCAGTCAGTCTTTCATTGGAGGAACTTTCAAAGAGCGTATTAAATTATTTTAAGTTTCTATTTAACAGGTTGCATATGTTCGTTAAGCCTCTTGTACATATGTGCAAATAGGCAAAATATAACATGGGAAATTAACTGTTACCTGTTACCTGTTAACTGTTGTTAGGTGTTATTTAAAGAGGACATAGTATGCTCGAGTTCAGGTTGATATCAGTATTCATACTGCCTGTGCTGCAGCACCTCTTTTCACACTCTTTCTGAAACCAAAGCCCAGTCTGCTCTGATTGGTTGGAGAGGAAGTTTGGGATTTTAGCCTTTGCAGACCATTTACATGCACAAAAACCTATAAAACACACTACAGGAAACAGAAACCCCCAAAAGCATAGTAGGGCCTCTTTAATTAATTATTGGTTACACAGTAACTGAGAACTTTCCATAAGAAACTGCAAGAGATTCAAGTTAAATGTTAAAGGTGGGGTAGGTAATTTTGGAGAAACCAGCTCGAGTGCGCTAGAATTTGAAAATACACAGCCGGAAAAAATCTGCCACTTCCTCACAGAGCCCCTCCTCCAACACACACGAACGTGCACATGACCAATGAGGGCACGAGATAATTTGTGCACGGATAGAAGACTGACAGGCAGGTAGGCCATCCAGTTATTTTAGCCGGACCGGCTCAGATGATTGGTCGTGCTTTTTACAGCGCCACGGCTTCCACAGATGACATTTTTTTAATGGATTTTTTGTCAAAGCACTTAAGATATTCATTGCTATCGGGATGTTAAGAGCATTCCATGGAATATAACAGAAAGTGTATCTCGAGCCGGTTTCTCAAACTTACCTACCCCACCTTTAAGAAGGGTAGTTATAAATTGTTCATTTAAACTGAGTTTTGACCAATCAAGTATGTTATGAGGAATGCTACTTGCATGGATGGAATACTTAATGTGTCATAACGGCCTGTAAACATAAATCATCTCCATCAGTCCGTCTTCTTCTTCCAGGTGACCTCGGCCTCCTGTGAGATGCGCAGCAGAGCGACTCCGACACACACCGTGGTGAGAGCGCAGAGCAGGGCCAGGCTGTGTGTGGCCGTCAGAGCCGTCCACTCCTTAAACAGCAGAGCGGACGCCACGATCACGGAGCACGTGAACGCCACATAGTACACGGCTTCAAACACGTTGGAGCTGAAGCTCTGCAGGGCCCTGTTGATGTAGAGGAACTGCAGGAGGATGCTGACGGCGAGCGTGCACAGCAGGAAGAGGAAGAGAGGCAGAGCGCGACCCCCATCGGCCCCAAACACCTCCCCCGCCACCAGGCCCAGGCCCTTGCTGCAGGGCACGGTGAAGCTGCCCAGCAGGGAGCATATGGAGACGTACACCATGATGTTAGAGGAGCCGTGAGCCGGAGCAACAAACAGGATGAGGACGAGCAGCAGCAGCACCACCAGGAGGGCGTAGCTCACAAACACTGCAGGAGAGATTATTTAGAGATTTAGAGAGGTAGGAGAAGTACTCAGTCAGCTCTATTTTTATTTCTGCTTTTTTAAACTGTAGTATGTGCTCATGTGTTTCATTGTTTGTGAATAGGCTACTGTCTGGATATTCTGAATGAGGTTTTCCTATAAATAAAACAATTCTGGTATCAGGTCTAAAACCACCAGACTCAGGGACAGTTTCATCCCACAGGCCATAAGACTATTAAACACCTGCACTTTAGAACATCCATAAACATTATATATATATATATACATGTTGCAATGTTGGAAGAGCCTGTGACCTAAGTTTTTCATCGACACATCTACACTGTAGCTAATGTGAAAATGACCATAAAGCCTTGAATCTTGAATATCTTGGTTTCTTGTTTTTTAACTTTACATTGTTCTGTTGTCTTACATAACACACTTAAGTAAAAGCATCTTATTGATATTTATTTTCTATTGGATTCATTTGAGTGTCTCACCTGGGTCTGCCAGCCTCTCCTCCAGCTGCTCTCTGGAGGTCACAGTCTCGGCTTTAGGGGCGTGGATGATGAGCACCACGGAGCCACAGCAGCATAAAACACAGCCCAGCTTCCCCAGAATGTTTAGATGCTCCTTCAGGATCCACGAGGCCAGCACAGCCCTGCAGGAGCACACAACATCTTCATAACAAAGTCAAATAAGCTTTATTTATGATCAAAAACATAGTCAATGTGCCAGCAGGACATAAGAAAGAGTCTCTCTCTTACCCAAATAACACTCCCAGGGCTCCCAGAGGTGTGACGATCACAGCGGGGGCCACGTTATACGCCAGGAAATTCCCAATCTGACCAACAATCACTGATGAGAGACATACACAGGTGTGTCAACAACATGACAAACGTGTTGGCCTATATCCTCTAACAGAGCTGCAAAGTAACTAAGTACATTTGCTCAAGAAATGTACTTAATTACACATTTAAGGTACAGTTGCAAGAAAAAGTATTTGAACCCTTTGGAATTACCTGGATTTCTGCATAAATTGGTCATAAAATTGGTCATAAAATGTGTTCTTATCTGCACGTTTGAAGTTTGCAAAAGAGCACCTGGATGTGCTGGAAAAATATTCTGTGGACAGATGAAACCAAAGTTGAGTTGTTTGGAAGGAACACACAACGCTATGTGTGGAGAAAAAAAGGCACAGCACACCAACATCAAAACCTCATCCCAACTGTGAAGTATGGTGGAGGGAGCATCATGGTTTGGGGCTGCTTTGCTGCCTCAGGGCCTGGACAGATTGCCATCATCGACGGAAAAATGAATTCTCAAGTTTATCAAGACATTTTGCTGGAGAAGTTAAGGCCATCTGTCCACCAATTGAAGCTCAACAGAAGATGGGTGATGCAACAGGACAACGACCCAAAGCACAGAAGTAAATCAACAACAGAATGGCTTCAACAGAAGAAAATAGGCCTTCTGGAGTGGCCCAGTCAGAGTCCTGACCTCAACCCAATTGAGATGCTGTGGCATGACCTCAAGAGAGCGATTCACACCAGACATCCCAAGAATATTGCTGAACTGAAACAGTTTTGTAAAGAGGAATGGTCCAAAATTCCTCCTGACCGTTGTGCAGGTCTGATATGCAACTATAGGAAACGCTGCCAAAGGAGGGTCAACCAGTTATTAAATCCAAGGGTTCACATACTTTTTCCACCCTGCACTGTGAATGTTTACATGCTGTGTTCAATAAAAACATAAAAACATATAATTGTTTGTGTGGTTTTAGCTTAAGCAGACTGTGTTTGTCTATTGTTGTGACTTAGATGAAGATCAGAACACATTTTATGACCAATTTA